GGCCACTACACCGTGCTCGCTGGGAATCCGGGGTTCTGTGGAGCCAGAGGGCAGCGCGGCGTCTAAGTGGAACCCTACCCTGCTCAGGTCACCCCACCCGCCGGTGGGCGCCCTACCCGCGGCACCGCTGGAGCACCAGGCGGCGTGCACTTCTGCAGACCGGCGGCTCCGCCCTGGCCCCGAGCGCACAGAAATCACAATGGACAGCTTCCTCGGTCGTGGTCTTTATTCTCACAAGCAGCTGCAGCCTGGACGTGGGTGGAGGCCACCGTGGGGGTAGGGGGCAGCCCAGAAGTGCGAAGGTGCCAGCACTGGGTCCACATTTGCTGGCCTGCCCAGCAGTCCCTCCTGAGTGGCCACACACAGCTGAGGGTGGGGCAGCAGGGATGGTGGGATCTCAGGGCGCAGGGGGCCGACTCCAGGATCACCCAGAGACACTCTCTCGCCCTCCCCCCTTAAGTTACAGGGTGTGTGTGCTCATAGTGACAGAAGGAAAGTGAGGTCACCCACCAAGGCGACGATCCGTCCTCAGTCTCCTCAGCACATGTGCCTGGCCTGTGGCTAGGTGGGCCCTCCAACCACACAGTTGGGATCCAGCACGGTAGCCCCCAGGCCACCTGCTGCCCACTCTCAGATATATTCTCCATCAGGACCACGCCCCTGCGCCTTCCAGTCCTCAGGCAGCCCTGTCCTGTATCTCAGACGGGAGTGCCCCTGGCCTTTCTCTTGGCCTCCTGCTTTGCAGGGTAGTCCCAGGGATCCACACGCATTCCCTCCAGATGCAGCAGCGGCTCCTCGGTACTGGTATCCCCGTTTTTCTGTCGTTCTGCCAGAATCATGGCCCGCAGGAGAGGCGGGTAGGGCACGGAGTGCAGCGTGTGCTGGGGCCGGGCTGTGCACGCAGTGAAGGCCGCCTCCTCATGCCTGGGCACCACCCGCCAGTCATGGTGCATGACCTGCTCGATCTCCCGGGCCTCGCTCTCCGTCTTCCCTGGGGAAACACTAAGGATCTTCGCACACCCTCGCTCGGCCTCTGGCAGCCCACGCCCGCCTTCCACCCCCATCAGGCTTCCCGGCCTCACCTCTGAAGGTCAGGATGCCCCAGGCCTTCCCGTGATCCAAGTTCTGCAAAGCAAGCGTGGAGCCGGTCGAGTCAGGTGACCCCGCCGCAGGGATCGGGAGCCCCGGGCCCGTCCCACGCGGGGGCTAGAGGGAGTGCTGGGTGCGCACGCACCTGCGCCGTGTAGTCGGGCCGCACCCGCGTCAAGCGCCAGTAGCACGGCTCGTCGTGCT